GTCCCAGCAACTACAGCATATTCCGAAGCCGCCTGGCAGCCCGCAGTCCGAAGCGTTTAGCGAGCAAGCCAAAGCACGGGCACGCTGGGCAGCTGCCCAGCGCGGCGATGCGGATTCCGGAGAGGCGCGAGCGCCGCCCCCAACGCAACGGCCTGACTGCAGAGGGGAAGGCGGGGGAGAGAAGGGAGGGGCCGCCGCTACGATCCCGGCCGATACGGCGCGGGGTGGGGCCGGCACCGCATGCCGCCTTCGGGGCAACCTCCCTCCGGAGGCGAGGAGCGCTCCCGGTTCTCCCCCCCCCCGGGACCAGGTCCTCGCGCACCGGCCTGCCTCAGCCACGTGGAGCCCACAGCGGCCACGAGGCGCGCGCTCCCTCCCGCTCCCGCGAGACCACCCGCGCGCGCTGCCGACCAGCTCCCTTAGCCGCGCGCGCGCGCCCCTCCCGCCCAAAATGGCCTCGTGCTCGTGCCCTTGCCAGGAAATGGCGCCGCCGGACCCCTCCCGGGACCTCCCTACTCCCAAGTACCTCGAAGGTGACGCGCCCCAACGGCTCATCGTTGGCGGCGATATCGAAGAACACGATGGGGTTGGCGGCCATGGCGCGTCGCGTGAGAGAGGGGGGGGCCTTGAGCCAGCAGCAACTCCTCCACAACAGCGGGTGCGGCGCAGCGGAAAGAGAGCGGTCACCCCCCGAGTTTATATACTTGCCGCTCCGCCCGCCCACTCGCAGATCGCTGCCAATCGCCGCCCGCGACGCCGGCGAGTGAGGGCTCTCACAGCCAATCGGTGCCATGGGGCGGTACCGCAACAGCCCGAGCGCTCGGGTAAGGCGGTGCCCGCTGAGAAACGGGAGGGAGATGGCGGGCATGCGCACTGCGGCGCTGCACAGGGCGGGGCTGGGAGGAGATGGGGGGTTGGGGGATGGGCTGGACGGGGAGGCTGGAATTAGGAGTGGAATGGGATTTTTGGGGGGTAGGATGCGAAGGGGGGGCTGGGATTTGGGGGAAGGGGTTGGGATGAGTGGGGGGGCTGGGATTTGGGAGAAGAGGCTGGGGTGAAAATGGGGGGGGGCGGATTTGGGGAAGGGGCTGGGGTGGGAGTGGGAATGGGAGGCTGGGATTTGGGGGGTGAGATTAGGGGTATGGGACTAGGTGTTAGGCTGTGGGGTTGGAAATGAGGGATTGGACTGGGGCTGGGGAGGGATAGCAGTGGGCTGGGAATGGGGAAGTAAGGCTGGGATTGGGGGCAGGAATGGGGGTGGGGGAGAAGCTGAGACTGTGCAGCTTCAAATTGTGTGTAACCTCCTGAGTGGCGTGTGTGTGTGTGTGTGTGTGTGTTAGAGTGAGAGAGGTAGGGGGGGCAGTGCCTCTGCATCTAATAAAGCATTCATGAGACTTCCTGACATTCATGTAGCACCTCCCTGCCCAGGAACTTTAACCCTCCCACCCCACCCCCCCAAAGCCATTGCCACCCTTGCACAGAGTGGGCCTTGTACAGATACCACCCTCCAGAAAAAAAAGCATTGGGCCTGTCCTGTCCATCTAGCCATATAGAAATGCTAACTCCCCTGGGACCTCTTCATTACCCCGCAGGCTGAGAACCCATGGGATAGGGCAGGGGTTGGCAACGTTCAGCATGCAGCTCGCCAGGGTAAGCACCCTAGCGGGCTGGGCCAGTTTATTTACCTGCTGACGCGGCAGGTTCGGCCGATCGCGGCCCCCACTGGCTGCGGTTCGCTGTCCTGGTCCAATGGGAGCGGCGGGAAGCGGCGCGGACCAAGGGATGTGCTGGCCGCGGCTTCCCGCCGCCCCCATTGGCCCGGGACGGCGAACTGCGGCCAGTGGGGGCCGCGATCGGCCGAACCTGCCGCCTCAGCAGGTAAATAAACTGGCCCGGCCTGCTAGGGTGCTTACCCTGGCGAGCCGCGTGCCGAATGTTGCCGACCCCTGGGATAGGGCATGCAGCATGGGAAACGGGGTCTTGGAGGTATAAAAAGGAGATTCCTGAATGGAGTGGGCCATGGCATAGTAGGACTGTGGAATGAGTGATGGGAATAGACAGATCTATGAAAGGAAGGAGCACAGAGGTGGGAAGAAGACCTGAGGAATAGCCCCGTTGATTTATTTATTCATATTTTGGGTGTGATGACATATTTTGCTGTGTTTCTATGAGGCATTTTTGTCCTCCTTAGCTGCATGTGCAAATGGTGCTGGAGCAGCTGTTTGACATGTGCATAGCCCACACATGTAAGTGCTCATGCAAAATGGCTAGTTGTGTGAACAAATCCTGAGCTGTTCCCCTAATTCAGTGGATGGGCCTTTAATTATCTTTACAAGTACCTCGTAGGATTGTGACACCAGACCCATCATGCAAGTGTGACCTGACCAACTGAGAGGGGATGAGATTTTTATTTGAAATCATAGAATATCTGGGTTGGAAGGGACCTCAGAAGGTCATTTAGTCCAACCTGCTGCTCAAAGCAGGACCAATCCCCAGATTTTTGCCCCAGATCCCTAAATGGCCCCCTCAAGGATTGAACTCAACTCTGGGTTTAGCAGGCCAATGCTCAAACCACTGAGCTATCCCTCCCCACAAATATTTGTTTTTTATTAACACTCAACTCCAACACCTGAGCAACAATTTGGAGAGAGGCTCTTTGCTAAAACAGAATATTACCCCCATTTTACAGATGGAGAAACAGGCACAGGGAGGGAAGGGACTTGCCCAAGGTCACTGAGCAGTCCAGTGACAGAACTGGGAATTGGACCCAGATCAAGTCCCAGTCCAGAGTCCTATGCACTGGGCTATACTGCCTAGCATAAGTCAATAACTTTCTTTGAACAGTGACCTAATGGACCTACTAAGGGTAGCCTGCCTTTAGCAATCTGGAAAATTTGTTGTTTTCCTCCGAAATACCATTATCTCAGGGCATTCCCACCATCTATACTGCCAGGGGTCTATTCCTTCACTGCATGACACGCCTGACATACCTAAGGCAAAAAAACCCACAAGCAATAAAATAATAATAATAATTAATAAAGCCTTTCAGGCCTTTTGTGCAACTCCTTGCCTGAGGAGGTTGTGAAGGCTAGGACTATAACAGGGTTTAAAAGAGAACTAGATAAATTCATGGAGGTTAAGCCCATTAATGGCTATTAGCCAGGATGGGTAAGGAATGGTGTCCCTAGCCTCTGTTTGTCAGAGGGTGGAGATGCATGGCAGGAGAGAGATCACTTGATCATTACTTGTTAGGTTCACTCCCTCTGGGACACCTGGCATTGGCCACTGTCGGTAGACAGGATCCTGGGCTGAATGGATCTTTGGTCTGACCCAGTACGGCCGTTCTTATGTTCTTAAGTATATAGAGCCTGAGGAAGTGAAAAGGGCTTTTTGTTTTCTGTGAGGATGGTGATGCCAACCATAAAACAATTAGGAGACAGTATCTGACTTTCAGGGCACCCCTCAGCTAGTTTTGTGGACACTGAGCACCTCTACGAATCCGGCCCACAGTCCATGCCGCGGGTCACTCAGTAGCACAGGCTTCCTATGAACCATGCAAGTGTCCATGTGACTGCCCTTCCTTCCTTCATCACATTCAGGTACTTCACCCCCCCGGGTCATTTTTAACCCACAGAGACATCCAGGCCAAATGGCTCTACGTGTCCCCTACCAAGCAGACAGTTCTTCTTGGAGGCCTTGCATGGAAATGTCTCCTGGCACTGGTGCTACCGGCGGGCAGGGAGCAGCGATCAAGGGGAAGAACTCCCAGTGAGAGTGAATTAGGAATTAACCAGGGAAAAGAAAATCTAAAGGGGAGAGAGAGTGTGGAGCAAAGGCCATGGAAGCCAAGTCAAGAGACTGTGGGTGCTGCTGTTCAGCTGTGACCCCTTTGCCTCCCCCAAGTTTGGTGAACAAGAAACATGTAGAACCTGCTCGCCCAGTCCTGCCTGTGCCCTAAGCTGCTCTCCCGGAGCACTCCAGGCTGAGGTCCCATGGCAGCCACCCTGAGATGTGCTGGGCCCCCGTTGCCTTGAGTAAAGCACTCACCTGGCAGCTGTCCATAGGCCACCGTGGACTGGAGCACAGGGAGCCCTTGGCTGAATGCTGAAAATGGCGCTTTCTGTCTCCAGTCCCTCCCAATTCCATAGGGGCATTGCAAGTTCCGGTAGTGGGGCCTGTACCCATAGGGTGGTGCCCTGCTTCCCGCGGTCGCTGGCTGCAGCACGTTCATTTCTTGCAGTTTGGTGGCTGGCTGTTGGGTTGGCTCTCCGTGAACCTGGGGTCCTCAGGTACAGCTTTGCCTGCTAGGAGTTAGTGCTGGCTCGCTACTGGGCCCACAGAGAGCAGAAGGGACCCACGACTAGAACCTTTCTCCTAGGGTCCTAGCTCAAGTCCCTCAGCCTGGGAGTGGCCCCGATAATAAATGTGCATGGCCAGAAGTTTAGCCCTAGTGAGCAACACTGCAGTAATATACCACTGGCGGCCAGCTTGCCCAAAGGGTCCAGTGCCCACCAAGAACCATGGAGAATCCTACCCCCACTTAGAGACCAGCTGGGTGCTGCATCTCTTGGGAATTCTGGCCTGGAATGTACCCAGCTCTTGTGAGTGCCCCACAAACATACACCAGGGAAGGAAGTCAGTGTTGGTGTAGGCGTGACTGAAGGCAGACGTGGGTCCAGTCTGTCTCCACACAGGGGAGAAGAATGATCTGGGCTGGAGACTGATTTCAACTTCCAACTTGCAAGGAACAACCCATGAATAACAACAGCAGGTGAAAACCGAGGCAAAGATTTCAAACACAGGTTTGTCTAATGACAGCCACCCTAGGCCCCCCAGCACCACTCTAACCCTATGTACAGCACTTCTATGGCTTCCATTTCCAGAGCATCTGAGAGCCTCCATTGCACAGAGGGGAAACTGAGGCACAAGGCACTACATGACTTACCCGAGAAGTCTACACCTGGAATTGAATCCTGTCTGCCAAGTCCCAGGCTAGTGTGCTATACAGCTGGAGGTGTGTAAAGCATAGGCCTGATCTGAGGCCACAAGCCAGTCCAACAGCACTACGACTGGGTTTGCAAAGGAAGGAGACGGTAGCAACCACACCTCCTCATGTTTCTGCCGCCAAGTGAGCCCAGAGAAGAAATCAGCAGCTCCTTAAATGCAGGTGGCCAGATTCTGCCCATATGAGCCCGTGGCAACCCCACTTAAATTGCATGACTATAACTATAATGAGGGCAATTGGGAGTCTGGCAGCCAAAGTCATTGATGAGCAGACCCTCCTGATACATCTAAGCAGCTTGGACTGGCTGGGCCAAATACAGAAGTGACGAGCTCAATAATCTACACCTTCTTCCCCCAAGGCGCTAGAGTCATGCTCCCTTAGTTTTACACTCTTTTTCCCTTACCCAGGTTGTCTGAATTTGGTCCCCTGGGGGCCTCATTCTGGTCTCGTATCTATAGAATTCAGCAGTAACTCCACTGAAGTCGGGTAAAATCCATGTAAGGTTGGAATCAGGCCCTTTGTATCTAAGACACTCTTAAGATGATCTAACTAACACACTGGGGCTGGAAGTGAACCCAGCTTGAAGTATCAGAGGCTCCCCTCTTGAATATGTCCCCGTGGCCCAGGATGTTGGGACACCACTGGTGTATTTAGATGCACTGAAATCTGCATCTCTCCAGCTCTGGGGTGGGGCGAACCAATAGGCACGGTTGTATCTTC